CTTGCCGGGGCTTCTACTAGAGAGCACATACGTTTTTCTTAGTTTTCTTAGTTTTCTAAGGGGTCAGGGGGCTTGAGGGGAGGGAGGTAGGGTGTTCTCTCGGGCATGCTTTCTGGGGTGGGTGTTGACAGGCCCCTGGGAAAATCTGCATTTTTCAGACGCCGGTTCTCCCAGGATCAGGGCCTGTCTGTATCCGGCCTTAGAGTAGAACGTTATACCCACTAGTCTTGGATCTCAAATCCCACTATCCTGACTAAACAGAACAAACTGCAGCCTTTCAGCTGTTACTGTATCACAACACCCATCAGCTCTAGTCATGATGTTTAATGATGAGGAATACAAGAATTGTAGTCCAATATCTGGAGGGCCACATAAAATTACATGGTGGGCCAGAATTGTTGCACAGATCTTGAAACTGTTCATGCAGGGGGATGTGTTATGAAACTATTATGAAATTGTTCAAGCAACGGATGTATAATGATGTCCGTAAGCAGTAATAAGTGTATCTCCTGGGTGCAGGCAAAACTCTTCCAGGGGCTCTATTTTAGTAGGATTCAGCCTCTCCATTGTGTACTGCTCTAAAATTTCCAATATGGAATATTCTGTAGTGACTTCTGTCTGATTCAGAATAGTTTATATTGATTTTCTGTCCAGCCACAATGGAATCAAAACTCATTTCCGTTTGGACTTATTTAGAGAACTAGAAAAAAACAATTGCAGTAATGCAATTGAGGTTTAGGTTTTCTTTTAAGCTAGTATTTTGGCTTAACACCATCAGTATATTCCCACAGTTGAGCCCATAATGCTAATGTGCTACATTTGTTTAGGATATCTAACAAGGCATGAATTGAAAGAACTCTAGAAGGTATACCCATTTTTTTTCTCTTGTTTTTTTTAATTAAGTTTTCATGAGTAATTTTTTCTAAGGAACTTAGAACTCAATAAAGTGAATTGTTAGTGGTATGATGAAATTTGATGGAATAAGAGAGGAAATGCAATATGGAACCTTGATTTTCAGGGGTGTTTTTTTTTTTGTGTGAGAGAACTGGCTGTCTGCAAGGATGTTGCCCAGGGAATGCCTGGATATTTTTGATGTTTTACCATCCTTGTGGGAGGCTTCTCTCATGTCCTTGCACGGGGAGCTGGAGCTGACAGAGGGAGCTCATCCGCACTCATCCTGGATTTGAACCTCGGAGCTGTCAGTCTTCAGTCCTGCCGGCACAAGATTTTACCCATTGCGCCATGGGGGGCTCCTTGATTTTCAGTTTCTTTTAATACACACACACACACCCCAGAAAAGCTTTGGACAGTGAGCTTTTTTCTGACTCAAGGACTTCAGTTTTGGCTTAGTTTTTAGTAATCAATACTACTAAAAACCAGAGTTTCACAAATGTCATTTTCCAGCATTCTGTATCATCCTTTTCTGGTGAAGTTATTTGGTTTCATGATATGACTAATAGAATTTTTACTTATTTGCATGCCCTGCTGTTGAGCAAGTTACTCACATTTAAATATTACTGTTTGGAGCAGTGACTAATACTTTCTGGCAGTTCTGTTGTGCAATTATCTGATGTTAAACTGCTCATCTTGATTCTAACACAGTTGCGATTTTATTAGTATCATCTAAGAAATTGCAAAATTTTTGGAAGATCTTCAGTGATAAAAGTGCCAAAACACAGTTCTCTCTTCATTTCTAATGTGCATAACTTTAGTTAACATCACAAATGCTCATCTGTCAATCAGATATATATTTTTTCCTCAGAAATCAACACCTAAACTACTGCGCCTTCTGACTTTGGCTTAAGCCCTGTTAATTTATTTAGTCTACCTTTTTAGTCTTGGATACTTTTCCATTTAGGATCTGTAGCCTAGTGAAGCAACATGAGCAAGTGGGACAGAGTCAAAACTTTCCACAGGATCCAGAAAGGCAAACAGTTGTGCGGTTAAAAAAAAAAGTTTGAGCAGCTGCTATTGGATTGTCCAAGAATTCTCTGGTGCAATTCATGGCCTTCCATGCACACACACACACAGTTCACATAAATCGGACTCGCATGTTTAAGGATTTGGCTACTAAAGTATCTGAAACATCCTTACGAAATCTGGATATTTATGCAAATGCTGGTAATACTTTCTCTTTAGTTAGGTTTGCCTACTTTAGACTAGGTAGTCTAGGTGATTATATATCTCCAAAAGTCATGGTCACAATCTAAAAAGTTGTCCATGCAAGTATGTGTAATTAAGGAGAAACATAGTCATGAGATAAGTTTGTAAAAATTAGTTACATAAATATGACAGTAGGTTTTGGTACTTGGAATGTTTTTATGCATAAATGCAAATATTATGTGATATGTCTCTTTAGTCAGAATCAATGAGAAGATGGTACAATTAATTTTACAAATTCCTTATAATTTAGTCAGAAAAGCATATTTTGGGTAGAAAGTGTACATAACCTTAGTTTTGATTTAGAAAAAAAAAACAGAATTTGATGAAATTACGTAGTACAAAGAAGGAATATCTGGACCATTGGTCAAATACAACCTGGGGTAACTTCACTTAGCCTCTCCTATTCCTATACACTGATTAGGCTTCAGAAAACACTTCCATGGCATATTTGCATGGAGTATGAGAGAGGATTGCATTGGGGAGGTTAGTAGTAATCGTTCATGTTCTGAAGTTTCTGCAAGAAATATTTCCCACTGCTTGGCCAAAAAAATTGGGATAAGATTCAACTGTGAGTTTTTCTTCAAGCCTTATTACTGTGTGACTGAGAGTCTTGATGTGTGTTTGTTCATGCAAGAAGAACTCTGCTGGATGGGGTTAATGTATAAATACAATTTTGCTTGTTCCAAGATTGTGTATAAATGGATGGCCTTCTGAAACCTTTTATTGTTGTCAATTTTTTCATGACCCCATCATTGAGATAAGGGGATCTCCATTTGTGGTCAGGCCCACAGTTTAAGAAGCAGTGGTATGGAGAAGCCTATATTGGAGGCTATATGATTGGCTTTCTGTATCTACAGATTCTGCATCCACAGATTCCATAATTCGCAGTGTCTGTATGTGTGCGTGTGTGCTCTAATCAAAGCTTGATTTGACCATTTTATAGAAAGGACCCTATCACAATGCCATTGTATATCATGAGTCTGAAATAACCATTGATTTTGGTATCCATGGGGGAGTTCTTGGAACCAAATCCCATTGTATAGCTGCTATGACAAATAGCCAATTATAGTTTTAATCTGTATTTCTAATCTTCTGTAAATCAGTACAAGATAGTAGCCACTACTACAACTATATGTGCTAAGGTGTATCTATATGCATATAAGAAAAAGGGTTGGCATGTACTCCTAACATGTGACCCACAAGGGAATGCAGCGCTTTAACAAGGTTATTTATTTATTTATATACTGCTTTTCTCAATCCTAGGGGGTCTCAAATCGGTTCACAGCAAGTAAATGGTAAAATTCAATGCCTCACAAAGTAAAAAATACAACAGTTAACTAAAATAGCATATAACAAAAATTAAAACCAGAAAACTATAAGCATCAAACATAAACAGCATAAAACATAAAATATTCAACATTGCACTGATCTCGAAGTTGTCTTCATCTCACTCCCCAAATGTTTGTTTAAAAAGCCACATTTTAAGTAGCTTCCTGAATGTCAGGAGCGAGGGCGCCAATCTGATCTCATTGGGGAGGGAGTTCCACAACCGAGGAGCCACCACCAAGAAGGCTCTGCCTCTAGTTCCCAGCATTCATGCCTGCAAGGGCGGTGGGACTGAGAGCAGGACCTCCTCAGCCAATCTTAATGCTCTAACTGGTTCAAAATGGAGATACGTTTAGATAGGTAAAATGGACCAGAACTTTTTAGGGATTTAGAGACCAAAGCCAGCACTTTGAATTGTGCTCGGTAGCAGACCAGCAGCCAGTGGAGATGGCTCAACAGGGGGGTTGTGTGTTCTCTGTGAGTTGTTCCAGTTAGAAACCTGACTGCTGCCTGTTGGACTACTTGAAGCTTCTGAACAGTCTTCAAAGGCAACCCCACCTAAAGCATGCTGCAATAGTCTATTTAAGATGTAACAAGAGCATGGACCACAGTGGTCAAGTCTGACTTCCCAAGGACGGGCGCAGCTGGCACGCAAGTTTTAATTATGCAAATGCTCCCTTGGCCACCGCCAAGAGCTGGGGTTCCACACTCAATATGAGTCCAGGAGAACTCCCAAGTTGCAAGCCTGTGTTTTTAGGGGGAGTGTAACCTGTCCAATACAGACTGTAACTCTATACCTTGCATGGCCTTGTGACTGACTAGGAGTGCTTCTGTCTTGTCTGGACTCAAGGTTGCTGATTTCTGCATTATGGTCTTGAATCTACAAGAAGTTGCCACATAAAAGGATCTTGAAATTGAGATATCTAAGTGATATAGTGATTTGCTATCATTTTGACTTCAACAATGTATTTCAAAGGGAGTGTACTGCAGTTCTGAAGCATGAGAAAGTTGAAAATGTTTTTATTGCTGTCCAAGAGTGTTTTCTTAGATGTATAACTCAATATAGAAAGAAGATGGAAAAGAAAACCATTTTCTTAATCTCATACAATATTTTCTAACAATCTAAAAATTGGGAGATTGCTGTTAGGGTTATTTTTGTTAATTAAAAATCTCTTGGCTAATACTTCTTGCACCTTTAATGGCATGTGGCGACTACAATCAACAATTGTGGGAATTTTCCAGTGATAAAATATCTTGGAAACAAATGAGTGAATCTTTATTGGATCAAATCCAAAGCATAAACTAAGTTATGCAAGATTTTGAAGCTTCGCTGGCTTATTTGAAAGCTTGCGTAATATATTTTATGTATTGGAGTTGGTCCAGTAATAGTATCGCTTCACATGGATTTGGGATTTTGTTGTATTTTGCTGCATGGCCAAGACAGCTATCCCTGAATATATTTTCTACCCCTAGTGTAAATGTTTTTATTGTTAATCTTTGTTGTTCTTTAGAACATTGTGATGGTGACAGAACAGCTGCAGGAGAGCGAGACATAACAGAGTCTTCAAATAAGCAAAGCATGCAAGCCAATACACAAGACCAGCCTGTTATGGGAAATTGCACTGGTGGTGATCTCATTAGAAGTAAGTATTTTCAGAACAAATCCTACTGTTTATATGTGCTTTTTAGTCCAGTCTGGGCACAGATTGTTGATGTAGATAAATCTCTCAGATGCATTTGTGAAGTATCATAATGTCAGTCAAAGGAATTTCTTTCCAGAGATATTGTTAGTATTCACTATCCAAAAGCAGAACCCATGATAAGAGCGAGCATGTGACTTCAAGTTCCCTGCTGATTTACGACTACTCTGTGAGGGCTTTCTTGGGGTTCATCTACACCACTTTAATTGCCATGGCTCAGTGCTATAGAATAATAGGAGACGTAGCTTTACAAAGTATTTAGACTTCTCTGCTGAATACTGTTGGTTCTCTTATGTCAAAGCGAAACCTGGGCTGAGTGACAGCTCTTAACTCAAACACTCTTAAGTTGGGATGCTCTTAAATTGAGGTGCCACTATATAGGTTTGGACATAAAGAAGCATAATACAAATGCTTTAAACAGAAACAGGTTTGTAGGGTGATTTTGTAACAGTTCTCAAGTACTCCTTAGCACAAATGGGAAACATAGGATATTTGTGTGTTTCGCTTCAATTTTCTCATATTGATGAAATTTTGGTAGGATGGACGCTCTAGGGCAGGGGTCCTCAAACTTTTTAAACAGAGGGCCAGGTCATAGTCTCTCAAAGTGTTGGAGGGCCGGATTATAATTTGAAAAAAACCATGAATGAATTCCTATGCACACTGCATATATCTTATTTGTAGTGCTAATAACACTTAAAAACAATACAATAATTAAAATGAAGAACTATTTTAACAAATATAAACTTATTAGTATTTCATTGGGAAGTGTGGGCCTGCTTTTGGCTGATGAGATAGCATTGTTGTTGTTGTGTGCTTTCAAGTTGTTTCAGATGTAGGTTGACCGTGAGCGAGGGCCGGGTAAATGACCTTGGAGGGCCGTATCCGGCCCCCGAGCCGTAGTTTGGTGACCCCTGCTCTAGGGTATAGTGATTGTGCTCCTGATCTTTCTTTAATTGCCGACTATCTGGTAGTTTATTTTTGAAGCCTCGTGTCTGTGAAGTTTTTGAGCCCTTTTTATACTGATGAACAGCAATAACTATTATTTTTTAATTCTCAGAGATGTCTCATGATTATGGCATTATGTTTCCACATAGTCATATGGGGAAAACAAAACTGTCAGACTTCCTTTTATAGTGGAGGGCCTTCCTAAGTTCCTCTTCTGCCTAAGATGCCTGGCTTTAATTATTCTTGTGGATTAACTATGCAGACCAGAGTTCACTTCCTTTTTCACCCACCTAAGTATAATTCATATATTGTTTGATTTCAAAAGTCATGCAATTGGCTAATATAGATTTAAGTGGATAATTAGAATAGGAATACTTTTTATTCACAGCAAGCCTGTGTGATTTCCATAAATATAACACTGGCCAACACACAAAGCTTAGACCTGTTTCTGGATATATTTGACATGCTGATTCCAAAAATGGCACCAATTTTCCCCAATCGGCTCTAGTTTTTAGGATGCAAACATATGCTTTATACGAGCGTTCATCTGCTGGCCCATAAAAATCATGAACTAGAGCTGATGCAGTCTATCCAATGCAATTGTCTGAATTAGTGCCCTAAATAACACCAGGAACAGGCCTAAAAAGCAGGACACCAAGACACACACACACACACATATTGTTTGGGCTGTTTAGAGCTCACAATTTTTCTTTGCCAATGTTATGTCTTGGAGGGCCCTATCAGACTGATATCCTAGATCTGCTGTTTAAGACAACAATTTCTTCGGCTTTTTTCTATGTTTTTCTCTCCCTATTTGCAGTATAAGATTAATAATGTATTTATACATTATTATAACCTGTTAAGCATACTCACAGTCCCACTTTACCCCATTATCAATAGATCTTATCTGTGTTTGCGTTATGGTTTGTTGACTGTAATAAAGACATTATTGAATCAATCTTATCTGTGGTTTAATATGTGTTATGGAATTCAGTTTATAAAGAAAAGTCTATTTTTTTTTAAAAAAAAAGAACATATAAACAAAGTACATTTCTGTGAAATCATCAGCCTTAAAGCATTAGTGTTAAGATACTCTCACAAGACTTTCCTCTGTTTATCCTCTTTTCATTAAGGTCCCATCTACACTGTCATATAAAACTGGATTGTAGGGCATTGTAGACTCATAATTCAGTTCAAAGCAGATAATCTGGATTTTATATGGCAGTGTAGATGGGACCAAAATCTGATGTGACTTACCTTCAGCATTGTATGTACAAGGTAAAACACATGAATTAATATAGATCTTTACTGACCTGAATTCACTTTGATTGCTTATATTTTTAAAAGGTTTTTTTTAGATATGAAGATTTTAATGACTGTTACTTTTATTATTTTGATTTTTTTAGGTTTTATTTTTATTCTCTGCTAGTATCATATCATTACCTGAGTCTTCTTGAAAATAGTTTTATACTTGAAAAATGATGCATATGTTTTTTGACAAATATAACAATATGAATATGGAAGATATCCTTCCAAGACAACACATGCTACATGCTTCCTTTACTAAGGGTGCATTTACAGTGTCAAATTAAAGCAGTTTGACATCTATTTAATTGCTATGGATCAGTGCTGGGGAATCTTGGATTTATAGTTTGGTGAAGCCCCTTTCTTACAGTTGTATAAAATCCACATTGAACTGGATTATATGTGGACTCAGATAATCCAGTTCAAAGCAGATATTGTGAATCGTTTGTGTGGAAGGGCTCCGAGGCACCAGGACTCTTTTGCAGAGAAGGGTAAAGACCTTGTGGAACTATAACCCCTATAATTCCATAGCATTGAACCATGGCAGTTAAACTGTTGTCAAACGGTATAAATTTGACGTTGTAGATGCACCCTTAGTTATATTAATTTACAGAGTTTTTTTGTTTCTCCTGCAGAAGAAAAATATTTTAGTATAAGAACCAAGACAAATGGAAGGAAGAGCTGCAAAGTTGAGCTTGGTTTGAGTATCTTTTATTGAAAATGCTTGGAACCAGAAGTATTTTGGATTTTTTTTTTCATATTTAAGAATGCATTTATTGCGTATAACACAAGATTCCTTGCAGATGGCACTCAAGTGTAAATTCATTGCTATTTCATTGATACCTTATACATATAGCCTGGAAGTAGTTGAATACAATACTTTACATTTTCTTTTGCTTGAAAGAAAGTTTCTGTAAATTTAACCATCAAATCTTTCCCATCTCACTTACCCATGTGGACAATTTTAGATTTTGGAGCATTTTAGACTTTAGAATTTCAGATAAAGCATTCTCAACCTGTAATAGAACAGAATAGACCCATGTTCAGTTCCAGCACGTGTCATGATGTGTGTTCGGATTGAAATCCTGAATATAAAGCAATTTTACTTGGTGCACAGAATTTGCTTTGTTGGTAAGACACAGCTGGACTTCAATACAATATTTTTTATAGCTGAGAATTAAAACTAGTCTTTCAGTTCACTAACTCTGTTTTACCAGTGATGTTTAGGGCGTTTTAAGTTGGGAAGGCTGGATTCTGCTGTGAAGTTCTTTGGTAACATGGGCTTCTGTATTTGGCTTGCAAATAAATGGGAGTATTCACAAAAGTACAGTGAATAGAGGAAATAGACATGTGTAAAAACATCCTGTGTGAATCAGAGACAGGATTAGAATGGTGCTTATACTATTTCATGTGGCACATATTTTTCCTAAATCATCCTAATGATCTGCTAAATATACACTGGAGCTTCTCAAATAAATACAAACACCGTAGTATTGCACAGAAAATTGAGTCTCTTAAAAGGAGGTATCATTGGTTTGGAACTCACAGCATTTTTCTAAATTCAAGAATTTATATAAAGGTGACATGCAACTGAATAATCTTTTCTATGTTAACTTACATATAAGATTCATTCTAATTTTGTTAAGAACTTTGTTTTCTACTTACTGCTACATTTTCTTTTCTTTTTGCAAATGCGCTTTATCTGCAAATATTGTTTGCTGTAACAAACTATAAAACTTCTCAGATGTTTATGCCATTTTAATGATACAATGTTATCATAGAATCTGATTGATTTTAATAATAATAATAATAATAATAATAATAATAATAATAATAATACTTTATTTATATACCACCCTATCTCCCTAAGGGGACTGCAAAATATCCACAAGTGGAATTATCATGGTGGCCAAAGATGTGCTATAGTTGCCAGTCAAAAGACCACAGTGTTTACTTGGCTCCACTTTTTTTTTTGTTAATGCATTGCATTTCTCTTACTCTTAGGTAATGTATGTTACTGTCACTTGACAGTCTACTGACGTGAAAAAATTCCATAATCTATTGAAGTCAATAAAATGTTTAAAGGAGCTTACAAGAGGCAACAGTCAGCAAAAACAATTTTAAACCATTTTAAAATTGTATTGGTCCACTGTAGATAAGCATCTGCTGGACCTATCACCCCTTCATAAGCAGAGATCCATTTCAGTCTCTTACCTGGTTTCTTCCATTGCTATTTGTTTTCTCCCCCTCTTCGTGATACCCCATTCTATCCTCACAACTGTTCTTTCTTCAACATATACCAATTGCCCCATAAGGGCAGTCCATGCTTTCCGTTCCTATTTACCGAGTCACTTATCACACAACAATGTTATACTACAATTGCATGATGACTTTATTTTACAACATCTTGGCTTTTCAGTATCGTACTGCTGTTGGGCTATTTAAAAATTATTTTCCTACTTAAATGATCTGTTACAGATTCCTCTCCTGCCATGAGTTAGTAATCACTTTGGGTGTGAATGTCTTATTCTACACCGTTGCCATATTGTGATCATAGTAGCTGTGGCTTCATTATTTATTTATTAGTCCTCCCTTCATTAGTCCTCCCTTCAGTTGCCTTGGAAGATATGCTTCCATGGAACCTTAGGGGTTGGTCTGGGAGGAACTTAAGTCCCCAATAGTTTTGAGGAAAA